TTTAAGGTCCTCTACTTTGTTGGACTCAATACCATCTTTCCATCTGCAACCAGGAATTCACATCTCGGTTGTAAAACTTCTTGCCTGAAGGAAAAGACTCCATACAGAGAAGCCAGCTTGCAAGTAACCTGGGACAGAAATAATTGCAGGCATCATCAGCCTGAACTGCAGAACTTATCTTTCATCCTAGACTTCTCTGGGTTTCTGTAAACATATGCAGCACAGCCAACAAGCCCGCCATAAACATACATAGAGATGCAAAAATCATATACTCAAACTGTTTTTCTTGCAGCCTGGAAAGAAAGCCGAACTAGTTGACTATAAGGTGGTATTATCCACAAGAGAAGGCTGCGAGGCAATCTTGTGGCTGCCTACAAACTCCTCAGGGGGGCCAGCAAGGAATAGGGGACACTGTTTATCAGGGCGCCCCTCAGGGTTACCAGGAATAATCGCCACAAACTGAAGGAGAACAGATTTAGATTGGACATAAGGAAGAAATTCTTTACGGTAAAGGTTGCCAAAATATGGAATGGGCTTCCAAGCGAGGTGGTGCTTTCCCCTACCCTGGAGGTGTTCAAGAGGAGGTTAGACAGGCATCTGGCTGGGGTTACCTAACTCCAGTGCTTTTTCCTGCCTGGAGCAGGGGGTTGGACCCGATGACCTGCCAGGTCCCTTGCGACTCTAGAAATCTATGAAATATATTATTAAACGGGAGGCAGAATGCTGGATGAAGCTAGTCATAATTATTAAACAACCAGCTAAATATAAAATAGAGAGTTAGCAACAAAACTAGCTTAATATAAAAATCACTGTTAGTAAAAATCTGAATTACAAAACAATTGGTGATGTGATGAATACCTCCAGGGTAATCACACGTGGCCATCTTGATCACCTGGTAAGTTGAGCCTGTTAAAATAAAATGTGCTTTAAGATAAGATGCAAGATCGTCAAAGGACAGAGAACACAAGCCATATGCACTGAATGGAATGTATGGAAAGGCTGAATCTTGGAAAGACGTTACTGAAAATGACTTGGGAATCATTATGGATAAATTATTGGAGACTTCGGGAAGGGGGACATCCCATGAAGAATGTAGAGAATTCAGTCTGTCTATTTACAAGAAAGGTGACTTGGATATAGAAGTAGGGGAAAAAATACACGTGCTAAAGTGCTCTTAACCTGATGAAATAAGGCCTAACAGGAACCAATAGAAGTTAAAGTTAGTAACATTCAGAGTAGAAGAAAGGCACAGATATTTAAGAATGATGCAATTAACCACTGAACAAACTACAATGGAAGTGCAGAACCTCCAAATCAAATGTCTGCGTTTTTAGAAAGGATGTAGTCAAATAGGTCTCTTGAGTTCAATACCAGGGAAACTGGATGAATTCTGTGGTTTCTTTGGGATAGGGTGAACTACGTGATTTAATGGTTCATTCTGGCTTTAAAATCTATGAATGAGAATATAGATGAGAGGCAAGGATTTTTTGTGGGTGTTACCTTATATTTAACCAACTGCACAGTTGGGAGGGACATAGACATGCTTTTGGGTACCACTTTGCCTTTCCTCAGGTTTCCTTAGATCTGAGCAGCTTGTTTATGTGTCCCCCCCCCAACCACAGAGTTGGTCCAATAAAAGATGTCACCCACATAAATACTTGCCTTGCATGTTTTTCCTGGAACATCACAGCTGCAGCATCACCCCAACTCTACCACAAAAGAGAGGCAAGTCTTCCTTGACCTCTCAAATGCAGAATAAAAGGACTTACAATTCTCTAGACCAGCCAGGAAACTTCCAATAACAAAGCAAGGGTAGGATTTTTTTCCCCCAGTGTGAAAAAACATCCCATCCCCAAGGCAGGATTTGCTTGAAAAGAGAAAAATACCAGAGGAGGCAGAAAGGAGAGAACAAAATTCACCCAGACATATTCCAAGGAATGCTGCTGGGCTGTGTTAATTGGCTTTCTCTCTTTTCTTTTTTCCTGGCAGATCCCTATGTTAAGGTGAACGTTTATTATGGTAGAAAGCGCATAGCAAAAAAGAAGACCCACGTGAAGAAGTGCACTTTGAATCCTGTCTTCAATGAATCCTTCATTTATGATATCCCAGTGGATCTCCTTCCCGACATCAGCATTGAATTCCTAGTCATTGATTTCGACCGCACCACAAAAAACGAGGTGGTGGGACGGCTGATTTTGGGAGCGCACAGCATCACCACAGCGGGCGTGGAACACTGGCGAGAGGTGTGCGAGAACCCCCGGAAGCCAGTTGCCAAATGGCACAGCCTGAGCGAATACTAGCAGAGGCGCTGGCCAAGAGAACAGACTTAAACCTTGTTTTAGTCGTAGAACTAAACTTTCATAAGAAGCAGCTGATTGGTTATTTAGTGATGTGATTTTGCAGGGCACTAAAATTCTAAAAAGCATTAAAATTTTAAAATACCACAAATATATATAACAGTGTAGTCACGCTATTGCATGCCTAATACAAACTAAAATTAGTATAACTGCCAATATCAAGTTGCAGATTTTAATACAATTATCTGTCACTATCGAAGTTGTGTTTGTGCCGAACTGTCTTTGCTGGTATTCACCAAAACTGGTCTCTCTATTAGGCTTCTCCCAAAGTTTCTGAAATCTGTTGTTTAACCTCTAGTTTCTTGTTAGTTTGTCTGCCCATTGGTTCTTGCAGTTCACTTCTTTGCTGATTTGGGAGCACTAACTGCATTTCCATATATGAAGGTTTAGTATTCTGCACTGGTGCAAAGAGATACAGGGAAGAACAGTCCTATCTAGGGAAAAAAACAGCCTATAACCTGGTACTGGAATATTTCTATTTGTGCTGTATTTGCTATGGAGCTATAAAGTGATTTGCATCTAAAACTGAAATGCTAAGAAACTGATCACTGCTTTTGCCACATGGAGGTTCTGGAGAAATATTTGTATTATGAGGGACTCTGGAAAGCACCAGCCTACATTTTTTTCCAACCCTATATGTATATGTTGGGTTCAGGCAAAATGATCTACACTAAACATGTGAGATCAAATTGTAGGAAGGCTGATGTTTTAAAAGTTTATAAATTCTACATGACCGTTACCCAATACCTTAAATCAGACAGCAAAATATTGGAGAGTGAGTCTTCAAGTCAATTGAAAAGTAATCGTATGTTCCTTAATTGGACTAGAAATAACATTTTATATTCTACAGTTGGTCTAAATAGCCCATATTCAAAGGGTTAAACAATTTACATAGAAAAAAATGTTTTCACAAAATATTTTTTAGTTTCTCAAAAAAGCTAGTTTTCAGAGGTACAAAACAGTTTTAAACTGCTTAACTATAAGGTATTGGCTTCTGAAAAGTAGAATATGCTTGCTGTCTCCTGTGGAATGTAAAACCATGACTGGATAAATGTGTTTAGCACTATGCAAGTTAAGCCTGAATAGTTTAATTTGAAACAGAAGTTCATAGAACTAAGTTCTGCAAAGGTCAGTTGAGCTTGGAGGTAGTTGCATTTAGATCTTACTGTAAAAACACTGCTCTAAACTTGTAAACAAGATGACTGTACTTTGACAAAGTAATTTAAGTTGGTTTCTTATATTCAAACTGGGAGATGTAAAAAAGACAAGTGGCAGCAAACAAATAATTTTAAAGATTATTGGCAAGCGAAGCATGAACAGTTTACAACAAAAAATAGTAAACAATCCCTCTGCAGGAATTTGCCTTTATTTTTTTTTTAATTCTATATCTTGAAAATACAAGGCAGATTGAGTGGGCAGAAAAGCAAACAGAAGACTGCAAGTTTTCAGTGTTCGTTAAGTTGATTCCACGCAGCCAGTCTGGTCTGTGCCCCGTGGAATGTAAATAATGTATTATAAGTAATTTTTTTAAAACCATTTAACTATTTGCAGTACTTGACCACTGAATTTTAGAGCCCTGTTGAAAAAGTGATCCTCACCACTTTCTTACTATTGAAAGTAGATTAAACTGAGCAAGTCTTACCCTTTGGTTCCCTTTCCAGCCACAGTGTAAAGCAATTGCTGCTGCAAGGACTCTTCATGCAGACAACCTGCACGACACCTGCCATTAATGTCCCAGTAGCTCTTCCTGACAAAGCGTCTTTGAAAGGCTGAATCTTCTCACTGGTAGCTTTCATTGCTTGTAGGTACACCTTTCAAGACAGACTTTCATTTGAGCTGTGAAAAGTGTTAATGGGTCAGGGCGTAAAAGCAGTTACTTTGAAACTGAAATCCTGTTTCTAAGCCTTACAAGTGCAGGTAAATGCAACGTGAGTTTCCCCATGCACTCTACCGGGAAACCTGGATCCTGATTATGAGGATTTCTGCTTGAGGTTAGAGTAGATTTTGATCTACGTCTTAATTCCTTTGTTGCTTATACACTGCTAGTGGCTCTCTACCATGACCAGGAGAACAGATTCTCCTCTGGACGTTCAGTGCAAATATATTAGATTTCTGTTTTTCCTCACTAAGCAGTCTGGTTATTAAAGGCTATCGAATGTCACTGCTCCTCCGGGGAACCATATTTTTCCCTCCCCATCGCAGAAATATTACTAGGATACATGCTATTCAAATGTTCCTTTTTTACTTCAGTGTAAAGAGTATGCTTAAGCCTAGATCACCTCCTTATTCTGATTCCTTTAGCTGAAAAGGAAAGATGAACTTGTCAAGGAAATGTGCTCAGGGTAAATAGACTTAGGCTTATTGGGCAGATATGAGTAGCTCCATTACTCCTCAGGAATAATGGGAAACTGAAGATGTGCAGATAATTTTTCTTTGGTGTAAAACTGACAGTTAGTGACAGCTGCCTCACCGTGGAATCTCTCAAATGTGGTTTCTTTACCTTGTGTCTTCTATTGTAAAATTAACTTGGACGGTTTCAACTTTGTGTTAAAAGAAAAAAGCAAAAGAACTAACTTGAAATTTGTGAAACTGCATAATGCTGTATGCTAATCCTACAATATGTAATGCTATCTTGTATGTTGAATTTGTTAATGCACATTGAGTGTGCAAATAAAGATTGATTCACTTTAAATAGCTACTGACCGTAGCATGTTTGAAAAAAAGGAATACCGAATTTAAAAACAGAACTGCACCAACTACTTAAGAACCCGTGTCTAGAAAAGGCACGTTGTTGCCATAAACCCAGTGACAGCAATTCATAGGAAACAGCACCTCCTGTACAAGAAAGCTCAAAATAATCACCCAAAAGTCTAAAAATGCAAAGTTCCTTCTAAACACTTATCCTTCACCACATTAAGGCTAATACGACTGCAGCCAAGATGGCTGTGTGTGGCAGATCACAGCGTGGATGAACAGCTGGTTGAAGTCTCCCCCAGTCAACTTGGAAGTGATGCAAATGGGCAAGACAGCACTATGAAGAATCGGCAGCGCCAGAGCAGCCTCCTTTAGCTGGCGATGCATGCTCACTCAGTTTGTTCAGTCTGCAGTTTAAGAGGATTCCTGATGGCTACTTAAGCCCCTCCATAGCAGACTATGCATGTAAGGCTTTCTACCATCTCTGGTCTCCACTCTGTCCTGAAGGACAGTGATCTTGGCCTGTGTTGCATGCTTATCCACAACCTCCCATCCAGACCACCAAACAACAGAGTCTATCTGGGCATGTAGCCAGCAGGCCTTAGGAAACTCCAAATAGTACCGAATGCTGCATTGCGTCTCCCCAGCAACACAGGCTACTGCCAGCACATTAAGTCTGTCCTCTACTCTTTTTTGTTAGCTTCCCACAGAGTTAAGTTTAGGATATTTGGCCAAGACACACACAGGCATACAGGTGCCTAGATACCTTTCTGGATTTGAATCTTCAAGGTACCCAGTGGTTTCAGCCTAAGTGCTCCAAAACATCACCCAAAGTACAGGGATGAGGAGCATGCTCCCTAAATCAGGTCTTCAGGAGAAAGGGAACTTTCTGCCATGAGGGAAAAACTTGTTTGTGAAGGACACAGCCTTCACAGTGGTTAGTTCAAGATAAAATGAGCCAAGGTCATTCACAACCCTCACCACTTTCCTGTGGCAAACGGCACCTTTTTGATCATGACACCTCTCCAAGTAACAGAGCAATGCTTACCTTTAAAAACAAACCCCCCCCCCAAACCCCCACCCAGAACAAAACAGTATATGGCAATACGTGTAGGCTTTAATATTTTTGTGGCCATGTAACAAGGGGCCACCTTGTTACCCAGGGTGGCCCTTTCAAGTTACTGTTTTTGGAATTATCACAACTGACAATAAAATAATGGAATCCAGTCAAATTAGGCACTTAATGAATAAGAGTCAGAAAAAACACAACACTTATTTATAGAAGCTGACATGTATATTCATATACGTTGAAGCAGAACAGCAGAGTGAAATAGCTAGGTAAGCAGTTTTCTGCAACCGATTTAGTTATACCATACATTGATCCCTCATTTGCCCATCATCTCAATAACTGTTGGCTAACAGTGTTTAATCAGAGAAAGTGTAGATATTTGTGTGATCACTGTTTGTTTTCCATGAACTGTGCTGCAGACATTAAAATCTCTTCCCCACCCTGTGCTTGGCATCCGTGCCACTGTGGAATGTGCGTTGATGGGATACTCCAGCTTCTTGTTCCTTTTAGCTGAGGCAGAAACTCTCCAAAATTTACATAAGAAAAAAAGGGTGGAAAAAAGCAAGTAAAAAGGATTTGACAAACCGTGAAAAGAGAAACGGTTGTAAAAAGCAAAGAAGTTCAACTTTGACTCATTTCCTCCCTTCTCTGGGGCTGGGTCCTGATCCCATTGAAGTCAATAGGAAATTTGCCATTGCCTTCAATGAGAGCCCAATCAGGCCTTTCCTCCCCTGACAGCCTCTACCCCACCTAACTGTACACAGCAGTAAAGCTCTGGTCCCTATGATAACTGCCATTTGTGTATTTGGTGATCACAAGCTCTCCAGGTCTGGATTCCCTCAATAGGTGCCTGGAACAGAGCGAAGCTGCACCTCCATCCTTTTTCTGGACCCTGTCAGTACAACACACTTATCAGATTATATCTTTTAGTAATCCCAAAGTGGGATTCTGTAATATCTACCAAAAGCCAAAAACAAGAGTCAGTTGTTCCTAGCCAGGAAATATGGCAAGTTCAGATGCCTGTGACTTTTTGTTTAGAAGCCTGTAACCAGTGGTATATAATAATAAATCAGCTTTCTTCAAACAAAAATATTCTTAGTGGTAAGAAAATAAAAACATAATGAGAATCACAGCTTCTTTTCTTCCCTCTTCTTCATTGCATTTCAAGATTGACTGCTATGTCTAGTGACAAGAGATTTGATGTGCAGCTATGGTGGCAGGCTCCCGTCCTACAGCAAGGCTGTCTCTGGATTTGGTGTTAAGAGTGCAGGCTGGACAACTGGAAACTTATACTTGTACATCAATAATGCGGTAGACTGTAAAGAAATAAGAAGGAATAGACGGCATGAATAGAGTGGAATCCCTTCGCCTCAAAATCACTTTGGGGAAGGCAAGTAAAACAGGTTCCTTCGGGACTACAGCTGGGCTTCTGCTAGACACTAGGCCTGTGCGAAGTGGCAAGTATTCACTTTGGATTCAGCTGATTCGGAGGTACAGTGATTTGAATCACTGCCCTGATTCAATTCAGCCGATTCGGATCCAAAGATTCAGCACCAATTCGGAGATTTGGCCACAGACTAAACAGGCAGCAGTCCTCACCACGCTGGACACAGCTGCCTCCAGCCGGTAAGTCTGTTGTGGTGGGTGGAGTGCGGAGGAAAGTGGCATGGGGGGGGAGCAGATCAATGCCCCCACAGTGAGGGAGGGATTGGGGCTGGGACAAGCTGCCCAGTTGGGGCCGGGGGCATGGGACTCAGGGGGGCTCCCGCCACTGCATGCCACCGATCCGGGAGGGCATGGGAATGGGTGTGCCCCGGGATCTGCGTGGAGCAGGCTGGGCCAGGCTGCACTCTGGATGGGCGGCAGAAGGCACTGGGAACAGGGGCAGCTTGTCCCAGCCTCAGTCCCAATCCCTCCCTCATTGTGGGGCCATTGATCTGCCCCCTCTGCACACCACAACAGACTAACCAGCTGGAGGTAGCTGTGTCCAGCATGGTGAGGACTGCTGCCTGTTTAGTCTATGGCCGAATCTTCGAATTGGCGCTGAATCTTTTCCATATCGATTTGGAGGCTTCCAGTTTTATTCAGTCCTTTTAACTGGTTTCCCGATTCAGTTTGGATTCAGAGATTCGGACCCCGAATCTCCTCTGAATTGAATCAGCTACCGAAGCTTTGCACAGCCCTACTAGACACCTCATGGTCAGATTTAGATACAGAAAGAAATCTCTGAAATATTATTTAAGAAATAAGTACTACCAGAAATCATGTCATTATGGGGAGCTAACTTCCTAAATACAGACTTAAATTCCAGTCACCTATGATTGCACACGCATGCACTGATGACTGTCCAAGTGACAAAAGTTAGGTCTGCTACATTAATAATGAGAAAAAAGCAGCTAAAAGCAATACAAAAAAAGTTGTAAAGTATGAACTGGTTCATCAAGGAAAAGAAACTCCCTTCACCTGAACACTGTTATTTTATGCCTTTGGATACAGTCCAACATTGAATAGCTTGTATACAGAGACAGACTGCATTATACTTTGTGTTTGTATATACACCGTAATCTGCCATGCAGCATCAGACCAGTAATATATCTATGTAAGTCATTAATTATCTTGCTGTGTCAGTCAAATGATGACAAAACACATCATATAAGATCCCTTGGTCACTAGTGAAATATTCAATCTGTGACAAAGTTAAACAAAATTAAACTTCAGCTAATGCGAATTACACTAAGATTTCACTGGTAATCATTAAACTAAAACAAGAATCAGTACAGGAACTAGAAACCAAAACTATAAATTCCTTCATGAAGAAGTTTTAACAGTTACCAGTATGTGACAGCTTACATTTCACTTACAGGTCCAAAGCAGTGAGATGGAAAGACAGATCTAAATGTTCCTTGCCAAAGAAACTAATGAGACAATTAGGCAAACAGGATTTAACCCACCTAATTAGTAAAAGAACATCACCTTAAAAAAGAAAAAGAAAAAAAACCCTGTGGAGATTCCAAGCTCTAATACAACTTAAAGTATAAAGACAGGAGCTAAATCAATATATGACAGCATAAATAAAATGGATCATGGCGGTATGAGTTTGCATGTTTAATTGAAAAGAAGGAAAAAGATAAGCAAAAACCACCTATTCAAGCCTTACCAATTACTCTAACATGATTTTATTACAAATTAATGCATGTATTTGTTTACTGGGGTTTCAAATTGCCATCAGCCTCACTGGTCCCAATTTCTAGCAATAGCCGCCGGGAACAGCATCAAGAAATAGCCAGTGTCACACTAGTGTTCCTCTACGAGCACCTAGGAAGATGCTTATTGCAGCAATTCACTGCAGGGGCTGCTCCATTCTGGCAGCATCTCTATTTCTTAAACTTATCAGCCACTCACATGGCTTTAAAACTAAATCATGTGCCAAGTCATAACACTATTCGGCTTGCTAACAATAAGGGAAGCTGGGAAGTATAGGAAAAAATACATAAGCAAAATTAAAGGAGCCCATTGTACACAGAGGTGCAATCTAAGTGGAAAAACCTGCTGGTGATACTGTCTAAAGTCCCATCTAGTGTTAAGAAAAGCCATTAGATGAGGTCACATTCTGAATGTTTCTCTCTATATACATATTTCCAGGAAAAAACGAGTTACATCCCAATGAGAATTCCAGGTTTTTTATAATACAGGCAACCCCCGCTTAATGCTGTTTCGCTTAGTGTACTTTTCACTATAGCGTTCACTTCACATTGATACCCGATTTCACATAGCGCCCAGCGAATTTCGCTATAACGCTCAAGGGTATCGAGCAGGGAGCATCAGCAGCGCACAGCCTCATCGCCATCTGGAAGTCTCCAAGAGGAGACTGGATGGGCACCTTGCTGGGGTCACTTGACGCCAGCTGTCTTTCCTGCTTGGGGCAGGGG